GGGTTGCAAATGACAAGCTTTCATTCTTTTTGATGGGTGAGTAATATTTCATTGTATATATGTGCCACATATTCTTTATCCATTCATCAGTTAATGAACATTTGGGCTCTCTCCATTGTTTGGCTAGTGTTGATAATGCTACTATAAACACTGGGGTGCATGTATCCCTTCAAACATGTATTTTTATAACCTTTGGGTAAATACCCAGTAGTGCAATTGCTGGATTATAAGGTAGTTCTACTTTTAACTTTTTGAGGAACCTCCATACTGTTTTCCAGAGCAGCTGCACCAGTTTGCATTCCCACTAACAGTATAAGAGAGTTCCCCTTTCTCCACATCCTTGCCAACACCTGTTGTTTCTTGTGTTGTTAATGTTAGCCATTCCAACAGATGTGAGGTGTTATCTCATCGTGGTTTTGATCCGTATTTCCCTGATGATGAGTGATGTTAAGCATCTTTTCATGTGCCTCTTAGCCACCTGGACGTCTTCTTTGGAAAAATGTCTATTTGTCTTCTGCCCATTTCTTAACTGGGTTATTTGTTTTTTAGGTGTTGAGTTTGGTAAGTTCTTTAGATTTTGTAATTTTTTTTTTTTAAAGATTTTTATTTATTTATTTGAGACAGAGAGAATGAGAGAGACAGAGAGCACATGAGAGGGGAGAGGGTCAGAGGGAGAAGCAGGCTCTCTGCCGAGCAAGGAGCCCGATGCGGGACTCGATCCTGGGACTCCAGGATCATGACCTGAGCCGAAGGCAGTCGCTTAACCAACTGAGCCACCCAGGCGCCCCTAGTTCTTTAGATTTTGGATACTAACCTTTCATCAGATATGTCATTTGCAAATATCTTCTCCCATTCCATAGGCTGCCTTTTAGTTTTGTTGATCGTTTCCTTCACTGTGCAGAAGCTTTTTATCCTGATGAAGTCCCAATAGTTCATTTTTGCTTTTGTTTCCCTTGCCTCCTGAGACATGTCTAGCAAGAAGTTGCTGCAGCCGAGGTCAAAGAGGTTGCTGCCTGTGTTCTCCTTTAGGATTTTGATGGTTTCCTGTCTCACATTTAGGTCTGTCATCCATTTTGAGTTTATTTTTATGTAAGGTATAAGAAAGCAGTCCAGTTTTCCCAACACCATTTGTTGAAGAGGCTGTCTTTTTTCCACTGGATATTCTTTCCTGCTTTGTTAAAGATTAGTTGACCATAGAGTTGTAGGTCCATTCCTGGGTTTTCTATTCTATTCCATTGATCTGTGTCTGTTTTTGTGCCAGTACCACACTGTCTTGCTGATCACAGCTTTGTAATAGAGCTTGATGTCCAGAATTGTGATGCCTCCAGCTTTGCTTTTCTTTTTCAGGGTTGCTTTGGATATTTGGGGTCTTTTGTGGTTCCGTACAAATTTTAGGATTGCTTGTTCTATCTGTGTGAAAAGTGCTCGTGATGTTTTGATAGGGATTGCATGAAATGTGTAGATTGCTTTGGGTAGTCTAGACATTTTAACAATGTCTGTTCTTCCGATCCATGAGCATAGGATGTTTTCCCATTTCTTTGTGCCCTCTTCAGTCTCTTTCATAAATGTTCTATAGTTTTCTGAATACAGAACTTTTACCTCTTTGGTTAGGTTTATTCCTAGGTATCTTACAGTTTTTGGTGCAATTGTAAATGGGATCAATTCGTTGATTTCTTTTCCTGCTGCTTCATTACTGGTGTACCGAAATGCAATAGATTTCTGTACACTGATAGTATATCCTGTGACTTTGCTGAATTCATGTATTAGTTCTAGCAATTTTTTGGTGGAGTCTTTGGGTTTTCTGCATAGAGTATCATGTCATCTGCAAATAATGCAAGTTTGACTTCTTCCCTGCCAATTTGGATGCCTTTTATTTCTTTTTGTTGTCTTGACTGCTGAGGCTAAGACTTCCAGTACTATGTTAAATAGTCTTGTTCCTGACCTTAGAGGAAAAGCTCTCAGTTTTTCCCCACTGAGGAGAGCTATGGGTATCCCCACTGACATCAGCTGTGGGTCTTTCATATACGGCTTTTATGATGTTAAGGTATGTTCCATCTATACCTACTTTGTTGAGGGTTTTTATCAAGAATGGATGCTGTATTTTGTCAAATGCTTTCTATGCATCTATTGAGAGGATCATATGGTTCTTATCCTTTCTTTTATTAAGCTAATGTATCACATTGATTTATTTGTGAATATTGAACCACCCCCACAGCCAAGGAATAAATCCCACTTGATCATGGTGAATGATTCTTTTAATGTACTGTTGGATTCAATTTGCTAGTATCTTGAGAATTTTTGCATCCATGTTCATCAGGGATACTGGTGTGTAATTCTCCTTTTTAGTGGGGTCTTTGTCTGGTTTTGGGATCAAGGTAATACTAGCATCGTAGAAGGAGTTTGGAAGTTTTCCTTCCGTTTCTATTTTTTGGAACAGTTTAAGAACAGGTGTTAACTCTTCTTTAAATGTCTGGTAGAACTCCCCTAGAAAGCCATCTAGCCCTGGACTTTTGTTTGTTGGGAGATTTTTGATTACTGATTTAGTATCTTTGCTGGTTATGGGTCTGTTCAGATCATCTATTTCTTCCTGTTTTAGTTTTGGTAGTTTGTATGTTTCTAGGAATTTATCCATTTTGTCCAGATTGTCCAGTTTGTTGGCATATTATTTTTCATAATATTCTCTTATGATTATTTGTATTTCTGTGGTGTTGGTTGTGATCTCTTCTCTTTCATTGATGGTTTTATTTATTTAGGTCCTTTCTCTTTTCTTTTTGATAAGTCTGGCTAAGGGTTTATCAATTTTATTAATTCTTTCAAAGAACCAGCTCTTGGTTTCATTGATCCATTCTGGGTTTTTTTGTTTGTTTCTGTATCATTTATTTCCACTCTAATCTTTATTTTTCCTTCTGTTGGCTTCAGGCTTTATTTGCTGCTCCTTTTCTAGCTCTTTTAGGTGTAAGGTTAGCTTGTATATTTGAGACTTTTCTTGCTTCTTGAGGAAGGCCTGTATTGCAAATATACTTCCCTCTTAGGACTGCCTTTGCTGCATCCCCAAAATTTTGGACTATTGTGTTTTCATTTTCATTTGCTTCCGAGTACTTTTT